CAGTGCAACTTTCACAACACACTTAAACATTTATCACCAAAAGGCAGCATGACATATTGCAGAATGCCAAGCAGGACTTGGGGAAGATAACAATTATGGAAAATAAAAGAGGGAAATAACATCTGCTTAGAAATGATAACGAAATAATATGCTCAGGGACCAGTAATGTCTAGATCAAGCAATGAAAAGTAACAAAACTGAGTATATTCTCGAGAAGCAATAAAACCAATGATCAACAAATTTGATTAAGTATATCCTCGAGAGCAACAAAACCAAGGATTCTTACAAAACCCACCTATGAACTATGTTACATAACCATATTAGGCTTCCTGGCATTCCGAAACCTTTGCTAAGTTCTTTTAGTGTCAAAACACCAAATGATATAGTCTTCCCACAGAGCTAAAAACCTTTTTACTATATAACTCAAGCCAACTAGAAATTTTTTCAAAGAAATTGCATTTCCGCAGCTTAATTACCAAAGGATGTACAAAATGAAAAATAAGAAGCACATGTACCTGCATTGTGAACTTAAGATAGTTATTAATGGCATACAACCCTGCTGGTACAGCGAGAAGCACATTGTTCCGAGCTGCCTGCGAAATAAAGGCTCGTGTTACTGCAACTTGCACTATAAATAGTTTTTAAAAAAAAAAACATCAGAAGTTTCGAGTTTAATAGCAGGAACTAATTTATGAAAAATAATAGTACTAGATGGATCTTGTGGTGACATAACATCTACATTTCAAACAATCATGCTTTGAAAACCAGATGTATAACATATGCCACGCTTATTAGGCATTAAGATTTCAAGAAACTAAATCTTAATTTGAGACTATGCCACAATCCTAGTACTTCCAAATCGCTTAATTGCCAAGAAGATGTACCTGGACAAACGTGGAAAGAGATAGTAGAGGTTTCTCTCCAACTTTTTGGTGCCTGGCCTACAATATTACCACAAAAACTCAAGTATTAAAAGGGCGGCCAATTTTCAACGGAAAAGCAAGACACACAAAAAGTTGAGCCCCCATATCATTCCATTACTATTTAATCAAGCTCAGCACGCCACCATAAAGATACATAAAAGAAACGGAATATGACTATATCCCTCTTAAACAACCTTAGCAATTGGTTTCATAAATGCAAGAATGAAACCCAAATGGCCCACAAACAAACCTGATATTTCGAAAGAACTGAAGTCAATTCAGAAACGTACCTGGAATAATAGCATGACAATCGCAAAAATAACTTTTGCAATTTCTGTCAAGAAGTTGACGCTAATAGGACTAAAGTTGAACTTTCCATCCACTTTAGACATGTACACTAAGACGGGCTGTAAGGTCATAAACACAAAAACGTAAATTTTTAAGAAATGACAAATTGGAAGAAAAAACAATAACCTAGTATGATTGTGGATGATTCAACAGAGATATGATGCATGGTAGTAGTAGTAGTATTGAAATGGCTAGAGTTTTAAGCAAGTCGTTGTAAGACAATGTTACCTGTAGACCAACTAGCATGCAGTCACCAACTACCAAAAAGACATTGAGAGCTCGTTGTTTTGAGGATACTCTAATCTTGTAGTTGTAGCTGTCATAAGCCCTTGAAATAGCTTTGCTACTGGGAGAAACCAACCTTGAACGACATACGCTGCACTCAGCCATCCCGTTCTTCATCAGCCTTTCCCTAGCTAACGAATTCTAGACTGAGCTAAACCTGAATAACAACAGAAGCAATCAAGGAAAAGGATACACCTTTTATACAAAAGATATCAACTTTATAGAGGAACTCAAACAAAACGCAATAAAATCAAAGTGATTTATGTATACACAAGTGAAAACCAACGATCAGATCTCAATAACCATAAAACCCACAATTCACAAAGACAATGAGCTAAAGCAGATCTCAAAACCAAATAAAGAACAAGAATGTAAGGTAAGAGCAGAATCAAGTATAACTTGTAGCGTCGTTGTAAAAATCACATTTTTATGAACAGAAAATAAAACTCCTGGAAAATAAATATGGAACCAGATCGATAAAACTAACCTCAATAGACGTATAAGAACAGCTCAAAAACGCATTCCCAAACCAAAACCTCCTCCCGCCTAAACCGCACAGATCCAAAAGGAATTCGATACTCTCTGTTCAATCTTCCTTCTCGTCTATGTAAGATCTAAATTACAGTAACTCAACAGGATCTAGAACTCTCCTCAAGCTTCACATTCAGAGAATAAGCAGAGAGGGAGAGATGAGGAAGAAGAAGGTGAATTCGTCGGTCGATTAGAGTGCGCTCTTATTCTCTCGCACGACCCTCTTCGTGTTTTTGCTTTGATTTCACAACACCGTTTTATTGCGTTACCTTTGGAAATAAATAAATTAAACAAAAACATCCCAAAAATTTTAAATAAATAAAAAGATAGTTTGATTTACGTCTCTTTCTGGTGCTGACACATGGTGGTGATTGGGGATTTGACAGACCAATAAGATTTTAGTATGAGTGGTGTTGAAGCTTTAGTAACGCTGACGTGTCATACGGGTGATGGAGGGGATTGTATTTGTATCCAAGTTTTGGCTTTTTTGGTCGCATGTTTCTTTCGCTTGGACTTACATTTATAAAAGGAAAACCAAATTTTGATTTTGTTTGTTTATGTTTTTTAGTTAATGACTCAGTGGTGGTTCGTAACTTCGTTTAATACTATTTTTGTTAATTTAGATTAACGTAAACACGAACATTAATTGATTTTGTTGTTGTAGGAAATATCTAATTAAGGACTAAAATGTTAATGCATTCGTTTTATGAACTGAGAGCTTCATAATTGTGCTGTTAAAACTTTTATATTTGTGTTTTTTTCTTATAATAAGAATATGAAGTACTAAACAAGCAAATTTTCTTTTGAAATTTTTGATATTAGAAGTTTTGGAGTGATACATCATGAATTTCATTCTAATTTTTTTCTTTCTTTGTAGTCCACTTTAAACCAAATTTTGTATTGGTATAAAGTATTTTAGGGCTTGTCATAATTTGAATACCGTGAACATAAACTAATTCACATGACCCTAGAAATATGTGACATCTACGGCATGATCTATATTTCATTCCTTAAAACAAGATACACACACAATATGCATGCACTTTCGTGTAGACTTGCACACAAAACATTATCGAACATACATAAACACAACGAATGTTTACACACTTCACACTTTATAAATGATACTACTTATAAAGTTGTAGAAAAGTTTTATTTTGTTATAATTGTAAATGAAGATTCACCAGTGTTACCATCAGTTTTCAGTTCGGTCATACTAGTTTTTTTTTTGTTCAATCACAACATATTTGCCTGTGTGAATTAGCCCCAGATTTATAACCAAATTATGCAAAACGTATTTAGAATGAAATTCTGTATAAACTAAAATTGATTTTGAACCAAAACAAAATTTACTTGTGAAACCAAATTATATCTTCAAATTTAATATATAGATCCATATTTATATTTTTATAAGATTAATTACTGTACACTGATTATTATCCATATAAACTTTGCTAATTTTATTTAAAGTTGAACCAAAATAAATAAATTCAAATTCTAATACAAAACCGACTAAACAAAGAAAATGAAAATAACCAGCCTGAACCAACCCGAATAACTACTAACCGGAATCACAATTTTTTTTTTGGGAAAATTAGAAATAAAAGACAAATAATTAAACTATTGTCCATCTATGCATTCTATATTCATGATTGGTCATATATACTTTAATATTGGTCATATATGATTTCATATAATTAAAATCCCAATATGCCCTCAGTCTTTTAAAATCTTACTAAACTATTAAAAAAATTCAAAATCAAATTGATTTCTTTCTAAAAATAATTTGGAAAAAATATAGGACAAAATCAACATTTATTTACATTCCATTATTTGTTTTGCAGTAGATAATTTTATATCTTCTTCTTCTTTGATTCTCTTGTTCATCAAAGTTAAGCTTTCGTAATTGTTTTCTCCTCTCTAAAAACGCCATATTAAATAACTTTTTTTTTCTTCTTCTTCTTCAATCTCTCTCTCTCTATCTCACTCCCTTGATTTCAATTTCTTTATGAAGCGCAACTATAATTTTCCGGGTTTTGAAACAAGAAATTAAGCGTAATCTATAGGAAAAAGTGTTAAGTATAAAGAAAAATTCTAATTTGTGTTATAATTTATTCACTTAGGTATAAAGAATTTTAAAGTATTCAAAATTCAACTAATTTTCCGGGTTTTGAGACAAGAAATGAAGCGTAATCTATAGGAAAAAGTGTGAAGTATAAAGAAAAATTCTAATTTGTGTTATAATTTATTCACTTAGGTATAAAGAATTTTAAAGTATTCAGAATTCAACTTCTGTAATTTGCAGATGTAATCAAATTCACTATATTCAATTTCCATATTTTAAGATTTTTTTTTTAAATCTAAATTAGATAGAATGTACTTTCTAATTTTTGTAGAATAAAAAAAAAAGCATAAGAATATGTTTTCTAACATTCTTAGAACATGAGTAAATGTTAGAAAACATATTCTAATTTTTGTAGAACAATGAACAAAGTATAGAATATGTATTCTAAAAGTCGTATAAACTAGTATTCTAAATACCGTAGAACAGAAATGACTTCTAAATTTTGTAGAACATGTAGAGTGTGTAAAATACATAATCTAAATTTTGTAGAACATGTAGAGTGTATAGAATATACATTCTAATTTCAGAAGACATATTCTAAACTTTATAGATCAAATTTTATCCATCTAAAACGAAAACAAAATAATATATTTTTGATATTTTATATATCTTCATGTCTTCTTTATCATTTTAATACATATTTTTCTTAATTATTTTTGAAACAATTGGTTCAATCTTATGCAAGAGGTAGTTTAGAAATAGTTGATATTTGTTCATAGAATTCATATATGGACAAATACTTAAATATTTATCCTTTATTTCCAATTTTTTTTTTTTTTTTTTTTTTTTTTTTCAATCTTTTTTTTTCTTTTTGTCAATCTCCGGAATCACAATCTAGAAGAAGATTTCGTTTAAGACAAAGAAGAAGTATATTGTAGACTGTGTTGTGTGCGAATTCGTCTTGTTTCATCGACCAAAAAGGACAGAGAAAGAGAGAACGCGAGTCGCGAGAGAATTGAAGAATCCATTACTGGGTTCGAACCAGCGACCGTGATACTTCTGGAACCCTAATCTCGAAATCAGTGTATGTGTTTCCTCCGTCTGCTGTGATTCTCAATTTCTCGGTTGGTCTTTTTAGATTCTTTCTCCATCGGTCTTTGTTGATTCATCTGAGTGCTTGTTTTGATCGTCAATTTCGATTTAAGTAGATAAGAAATTGCTTGCATGATTCAGTAGATCAATTGCTTTATCTATGCCCAGCTCTATTGAATTCGATAGAAGACTAAAGGTTTTCTCGGATTCGTTTGGTTTGCCGTGGAGGGCTTGGTTTACTGAGGTTGAAAGTCTCTGTCTTTGGAGTCGAATTCGATAATGGTGGCATTTTTTTTTGCGAATAGTCTGCAAAATATATGGCCCTTTTCAATTTTTGTAAGCAGTGACTTGAAGGAATCAAAGGAACTTGTTCATAGACTTTCATTGCCTGAGAGTACAAAGAACTTTGTTTTTGCTATTAGAGTTCCTGAGCATGATTCAACTATTTACATACTTGCTGCTCAGAATTTATCCGAGAGATCTGCTAGTGATGCCGAGTGCCTTATACGGGAAATTCGTCCTGGTGCTGTTGTGGCTCAAGTGGACAAAACAGCTTTTGGGGAAGCTCAAGTTGAAGAGAGTGTATTAGGAGATGGCTCTAGTGATTCAATCCCTACATCAGCTTTTAAAGTTCTTATACAGTGTTTTGTAGACAAGGTTAACAAAGAAAAGTATGAAGGTATTGCAGGGATTGTGGTTTTGAGGGAGATTTTTGGGACAAGTTTTAATGGTCATTTATTGGCTGCCAAAAGGGTTGCTGGGGAGGTTGGTTCCTCGTTTATGGTACTTGAATCTCCTTTTGTCAATATCGCTGCTGTGGAGGATGCAGGAGGCAAGATGCAAAGTCTAGCTAATAGTCTCGTACCACAACTTTCTGGCTCTACTATATTTTCAAGCTCGCGAAGGTTTCTGATAACAAATGATGTCCAGGCACGGATGCTGAAGTTGATATCTTTGCAGATGAATCAGGTCAATAAAGAACTTAGCCCATCAAGTTGTGTTGCAAGTGGAGTTTCCAATGAAATACAGTCCTGTAGTCATGAGGTTCCACCATTTGCTCAATCCATTTATCCATTGCTTGTTGACCTTCATGATATATTCATTGATCTCCCATCTATTGGGAAAGCTCTAGCCAATGCCAGAAGAATGTTGTCTGATGTAAATAGAGGGGAGTCTATGGATACAGGGGTTATTTCTGAAGTTTACCTTTTTCAGATTGCAGTTGAAGGTCTAAGAATTGCTTTGAACAATGCTGGTCGGCTACCAATCAAGAACACGGGAAGTTCAAGCCGAACCGAAGTTCAGTTTTCACAGCTCTCTTCTGAAGACAAATCTTACGCACTTATGGCAGATCTTCTTCGTAGCCAGGCTAAAAAGTTCAAGAACATAGTAGCAGTAGTAGATGCATGTAGCCTCGCAGGTCTTAGGAAGCATTGGAAAACTTGTGTTCCTCAAGAAGTCAAAGATATGTCTGAGAATATGCTACAAGATTTTGATAACGACGAGAAGACTAATGATTCAAAGTTAAAACGACTGTTATCTGATAAACCGGTTGTAGCAGTTGGTGCCGGTGCGACTGCTATCTGGGGGGCTTCTTCACTATCCAAGGCTATTTCTGCTTCTCCTTTCTTCAAGATTGTAACTTTTAAAGTCCCGGCATCATTGAACCTTTTTCTGACACATACCCATAAGGCACTGACATTTGCATTTACTAAAGTGGCGGTTCCATCAAAAGCAATGGCCCCGGGTTTTGCTAGTTCTGGAGCCAAGTCAACATCTTTGATAAAAGCATCTTTATCCGCCGAGAAAATCAGAGCAGTAACACATAGCATTATAGCTTCTGTAGAAAAGACAAGTTTATCTGCCATGAGAACTGCATTCTATGAGATCATGCGGAAAAGACGAGCAAAACCTATCGGTACCTTACCTTTGGCGACATTTGGAGCCAGCCTTGCAACTTGTGCGGGATTGTTCGCCTATGGAGATGGGATCGAATGTGCAGCTATGTCTCTTCCTTCAGCTCCTTCGATAGCAAACTTGGGTCGAGGAATTCAAAACTTACATGAGGCGTCTCTGGAAGTGAGAATGAGAGAAGGCAACAGGATACAGAACGCAATCGAGTCCCTTAGACAGAGACTGAAGAAAGTCAAGTTTTAACGAAGAAGAGTGTATCTTTTATACTTTGACTTAAATCTTTCTTTTAGCTTACTGTATATATACATACTTGATACAAGATATGGTATCACGTATCATAGAAGAAAGCCACAAAATTGAAGAAGCTTTTCTATTAACCTTATGCTAATATTTCTAGTTTCAAAGTTACCTTTTATCTAAGTTTCCTTTTATTGAGTTTTCTAGTTTACGTTTTAGAAAAGTTAAAACGGTTTGTAATGGTCTATATAAAGACCTCTTCTATTCAATAAGAAGGTATCTTCCAGAAATTAACCTTATTCTCAACCTAGAGACTAGGGTTAAAGGAAGCTAAGCTTACAGTTTTCTTGCTTTAGCAACACGGCTTCGATATACACAGAACCTCTTACTCGAGCTAAGGCTAAGGAAGCTTTGGTTCATAACAATACTCTCTACATGTTTCGTGTTCAGCTAATGGTTTGGTTTGCACATGATCTCTAGATGGTCACAGAAAATAGAAGCTGGTTTCATTAGGAGAGATCAAATGGAAATAGTATGTTACTTATTTCCTCTTTAAGATAAGGAAGAAGCATCAATAGAATCGATTGATTAGTAAAAGAGACCTTCATTTTGCATCAAACTAAACTAAGAGAATACAACACTTCACATCAGTTTGCTTCTGTTTTCGGTGGTGTTAGGCTATTGGAGTCTATGTAAACATTTGTGCATTTTTGGTATTAGATGACTCTAACACCATTCTTTTTCGTCATCTTAGTTGAACATTATGAACATAGCAATGGAGCAATCAGAAGTATTATATGAAAATTGACATGTTTTCACTTATTTATTAAGTAAATTTAATTTAGTTAGTTATAAGAGTATGTCAAACACATATAAATTAACTAATTTTAATTTAACAGTATTAAATTGTATAAATTGATGCATAAACAATTAAACATAAAATCAACGGAGTTTTAGTGAAATTTTAGATTCTATTAAAGTATATGCATTAAATAATATGATATTAGAAATTATTTCATCTTTTTGTATACTATAATATATAGAATTAGTGACAATGAATATTAGTTGAATTTATGGTGTATTTTAAGGCAAATATATGATATTACTTTTTTTGGTCAACTTTTTGGTATAATGACGTTTTCATTTTGGTAACTTCATTGCTTGTACAGGTCTTCGAGGAATTAGATTTTCCCTACTACTTTGTTGGAAAGAAAATGCAAAATAGATTGATTTGCCAAACTCTTGCTCAAGCTTTTGTATGTGGAGATTCTGATGTCTTCGACAAGTGGAGAATGTTTCGTTATCGAGAGGTATGATTTTCTGTCTTCATTTCTGAATGAGCTGATTGAATATCAGAGTTTCTATAAATCAGTTTTTCTCTAATATGCTTTTACAGATGTTAGGCATATCAAACTTCCTTTACCACACATCTGGAACGATAATACAGAGTCTCATTCTCAGCCAACGTCGAGCCCAGTGCATTGTACGTGGAGAGACTGATCTATTGGCAGAAGCGAAACAACGTCGATCAATACAGATATATAGTTAAACTCGTACACATATGCTCATTGTGTATGTATACCAACCACATACATCGAGTATATTACTATTTCAGGAACATTTGGTAACCTTCAATATATAACTAATTGAAGATGAGATGCAATATATACCTTTAATGTTATATGAGTGAGGATTAACTCTAGCCATGATAAAATCATCATGCGATTGAAGTATGAAACTTAATATTGGACCTCAAAATTTTCAAACTAAAAAAAAAAAGACAAATGATCCATGATAGAATTTTACTACATGGTCATCTGATTTATTATAAACTTTAAATTGCTTCACCCACATTGTATATCGTTTAACCAAAATCAAATTTGTTTCACCATAAGGATAATTCATAGTTGATATGTCAATATCATTGCGTTTGGGCACGATTGGTACTAGGCATTAAAATTTTTTGAAACTAATGATAGTACTAGGCATTGAAATTTTTTGAAACTAATTATATTTTGAATTGTAAATGTAATGTCAGATGACAATTGGATAATTATATATATATATATATATATATATTCACTGGATTTTTTGGTCCACTCGAGCATAATCATTTGCCTTTAATGTCTGTCTGAAGATCACTGGGACTCCTGCATGATTCATCATTATACAAAATGCAGACAAAAACCTTTGGTGAATACTCCCTCCGTTCCTGAAAGTTTGATGTTCTAGTGTTTTAGGTTTGTTCCACAGAGATTGATTTTCTAGCTTTTTATTTTATTTTTATTAATTGATATTAACAAATCGTAGATTTCAAGGCGTAATGATTACAAATAATTAACTGTTTTAGATTACTATTGGTTCATACATTATTAAAAATATTTAATAAAAATAAAAAATTATTAAATGATTAAATCATGATTGTTTCTTAATATATGTGTAAACTCTAAAACATCAAATTTTCAGGAACAGAGGGAGTATATGATAAAACTTTTGATAGATGTTAACTCCACATCAGCTTTAGATATACTTACTACAATCCTCAAGACAATTATTGTTACTTGAAAACTAGATTTGACTTTTCTTTGAACCATTTACACGCACCATTATCATCCATTTCTGTTCTTGTCACACATCCCTTACTTTTCTTCACATCCCAATAAATTTAGCTTTCGCAGCTGCTTCAGATTTAAACCACTCAGTAGATTTAGAAACATGTCTCACGAAAACGCTCATTCGTGCAATGTCTCAGAGAACTTCTGTGTCTTTTTTGTATCCATACTAACTTTCAAATGAGCAGTAAGCTCGGGACCACATCTGATTCAACCAAATGAGCTCCCGACTTCATAAGCTTTATCTGCATCACCTTTCCTACATAAACCACAAAGGGCTGGTCCTTAGGATCTCAGCCTTGGTTGAATACCACAGGCTTTCATCTGTTTCGCTTTCACCATACCGTCGGGCGTTGGTGACTCTAGCACCGTTTGTGAATTAAGCTTCACTGGCAACAACTTTTTCAACAATCCCCTGCTTAAATATATCAAAACCCCTACTAAGTCCCAAATTCAGAGAAGACTATGTTACTGCCTCATCCAACGAGCATACATAGAGCGACATATTATAATGGTACTGGCTGAGCTGCACAGCACTGCAACTTCCTCGGAGAAGCATATAGAACAGAGGAGATTAACTATCAAGGGTTAGTTAGTAAATGGTCGGTTTTTACGTGAGGAAGAGGACCAAGGGAACAAAATTAAACTTGAGTATTACGGGTTTGATGTGTCCTTGAAGACGAGGATACTCCTACAAGTGCGGAGATCTCAAACTCGTGCAAGTGAATCACACGCATAAGAAGCTGATAATGCTTCCATAGACACTGGGACTGTGATTTACATAGATATATACTTACTATATCTTTACTTCTAATCACTAAAAATCAGAAGAGCAAAAAGAACTAAAGTTTGAATCTATTTCTTAGATATATAGGCTTTCTTATACTTGCTTAACAAAGCCTTTTTAAACGGCTACAAGTTTGACTCTATTTCTAAAATCTTCTAATCACTTAAATTCTGCATATACTTGCTTATTTGTTAAAGCAATTTTTACACTTTTCAATATTGGTCATTGCAAAAAGTTAGAAAACAGGAAATTTTTAACCGCATGCACATGCATGACCTAGAAAGGTAATGTTTTCTTAAAGTTCTTTAATATGTTCTGCATTATGTTTCCATCAAAATCTGATTTCTCAAGAATAAATATACATACATGGAAACTTGCTTCCCGAATTTTCTACATTCACTGGATATCCAAGACTATGGAAATTGGAGGATCATATATATGAAAATGGTAATAACTCAAAAGCTTCTTTTTTTTTTGGTTTAATGTTAAGATAACTCAAAAGCGTTTCTAGTTGACACAACTCATTTTTATCTAAAATATACTTTGTAATAGATTATTTCACAATTCTACGCTTTATTTACCGGTGGTTTTTATTTTCATGATTCAATAATATTGTACTAGTTTAAGTAGTAGTTGATCAATTCGCTTTATATGATTCTGTGACTTAATAGTTAATACTATCTTCAATATTTTTTAATGTTCCTGATATTCTTGTTGTTCGTATATCTTCATCATCGTTGTTTTGATCAAGCAACTACTTTTGCCTATTATTTTTTTGTTTAATAAATTTTTTTCGTTAAACAAAAATTCAAGTCTCGATATGACGAATTGGGTTTGCATGGAAAACCGACATTATAGAAATTTTGAAATCGTGAGGGTTTCCAATCGTTCCCGATAAAGTTTGCGTTATGGGTATAGATAGGCTTTAGAACTTAATTTCTTTTTAAGAGGTTAAAATAATAGCCAAACAGTAATTAGTAGTTATCTCATTTTAATGGACTTTGAATGAATTCTATAAAGATTCGTGATGATCAATACTAGTAGTAGCTAGATTTTATTGCTATCGGTGTTTGTAATTAACTTATCAGTTTTGTTTTTTATTGGCCTTTTTTTTTGTCTTTCAACATTTCTTTTGAAAGACTTTCGATTTGTCATGTCATGCCAGATGTGATCATTTCAGTTTCTTATTGAGTTTAGTGTAAATATAAAACGAAAACGAAAATTAGTACTGTTAAGGGTGTCACTAACGAAATGAATTTAAAAATGTTAATTTTCCCTATTATAATAACTATAGTTACCCATTGATTATGAAATGACATTATACGATTATGCTCATAAGTAATACTATACTTGATCAAGCAAACCCAACATTGACTCTAGATAACTATCAAAGATGATAACTCCAAATGTACTCACTATACCCAAGATAGATCATGACTCTATACTTGATCAAGCAAATCCAAATTCTTAACTATAAGGAGATAGATCATAACTCCAAATGTACTCACCTCCACCTACTGAAGATGTTGACTCTCACAATACCCCACCATTTTGTCCAAACAAGATCGACCGACGTCACCGAACTAACGAGAACAAACTCAGTTTCCCCAAATCACATGAGCCAAATCTGCTTTCAAAAGATAATAAACAAACTCAGTTTCTAAAAGATTGGTAAAACACATACAAAGCAAATCCTTTGTTGAGGACATAAACAGCTGCAGCATGCACCATTTCTCCAATATTTGGAGGTTCTTCAGGCTCAGCCTCAACCTCATTGATGACAGCCGCTACTACCGCCAATCCCTCATCTATATCTTCCATCTGCGATCCTTTTGAGAAGTTACAAACACACACTTTGCGTTTATTAAAGAAAACTCAATCGATTCCAAAGCAGTGTGATAGAGAGATTCATCAGAAGTGATAGCTAGGAATACAACTAGATGATTATCAATTAGTTGGAAGATTAAGAATCATTAACAGAGGAAGCTCTAAAATCGATTCAACAAGTACCTTGAGCGATTATCAATTACTAAACAGAAGAAGATCACATTCAGGGAAACCTAGCTAGATTCAGAACTCAGAAGGATGATTATACAAGTATCGTTCACTATTTCTTCAATCGATTCATCGGGAAAAGCAATTTTTATCAAAAACACAGAGATCGATTCAGATGGAACTCAACAAGAAGACATTATCAGATGAAAAAGCTTCGATGATTTCAGATGGAGATCTAAATCGATTCCAAAGCAACTAAGCGATTATCAAACAGATGGAGATCTAAATCGATCCAGCAAACCAAGGAGCTTGTATACCTTGAGCGATAATCAGAAAAATTGAAACGATTCAACAACCAAGAGAAGCGATTAAGAAACATGTATACCTTGAGAGCGAAGCAAATCTCGGTGAGAAGAGAGAAAAATTCGTCGGCTTCCTCAAGCTTCTTTTGGCGCTATGATCTCTCTTGTTCAAAAAATTCGAATTCTGTCTCAGAGAGAAATAAACAACGCATGATAATTAATGGGCTTTTAACAACAACAATATTAATGGGCGTTTTGGGCCCATTCGTAAAATAAGTTTAATGTTGGAGAAACCTTTTTTTTTCCTTTTCAACTTCCCGTTTCATTTCTCTAGCAAGGCTTTGTTCTTAAGGTATGTAACGTAGCTGCCTAGCTGGACCCTCCATTTATATGACATCTATGGACAACATTCTTAAGCTAGAGCAAGAAATGGAATCACAAGTTAAAGCAAATCTTGACTTGAGGTTAGCATTTCCAGCCATCCCTGCAACAAAACCAAGTAAAAAAAGTAACTTTCAAATGAGCAGTAAGCTGGGGCTCTTCAGGGACCAAATGCGCTTCCGACTGCATTGTCTGCATCACCTTTCCTACAGAAACCACAAAGGGCTGGTCCATAGGATCTCAGCCTTGGTTGAATACCAAAGCCTTTCATCTGTTTCACTTTCACCATAACCACCGTTTGTGAATTAAGCTTCATCGGGACCAACTTTTTCAACAATCATCTGCTTAAATACATCAAAACGCCTACTGAGTCCCAAGCTCGGAGAAGACTATGTTGCTGCCTCATCCAGCGAGCATACATAGAGCGACCTAGTATAATGGTACTGGCTGAGCTGCACGGCACTGCAACTTCCTCAGAGAAGCATATAGAACAAAGGAGATTAACTATCGAGGGTTTGTAGATGGTCGGTTTTTACCTGAGGGAACAAAACCCGTGCGAGTGAATCACACGCAGAAGAAGCTGCTAATGCTCCATCTTGTTGAATTGCAATTCCATAGCTTGTTAGCCCGAGGTATTTCCCATATGGGTGGAAGGCAACACATGCAAGACAATTCAAATAACCTTCAAAACTTTGTTGGAGTGTTCCATCAGTTTTCCACAGCTCTAGAGTTTGATCAGCAGAAGCAGTTGCTCTTCCTTCCTCTTGGTCTTGCTCTTACTCTTGCCGATGCTGTTGATCGAAGGAGCTTTTTCGGTTTCCCTCTGTACCAAATCTTCTTTTACTGCTATCTATGCTCTTCTCTTGGCACTTTCGAAAGAGTGCTTCACATACGCCAAACCAAACTTCTTATAAATTGTAAGCTCCTCAAAATCATTTTATAACATCACTCTTTGCTATACCAACACTTTTTGTCATATGTTTCCCCATATCAGGGAGCGTGTAGAAGCTGGTAAAACACAGCATGTAGTCTTCATGAATGTTTATTTGGTCTGCAACATCTATGCAGAAGCTGTCTTCGGGCACAAAGTGAATATCAACCATTATGCCATAGTATCACATAAAGTTGTGCTCCTAGTCAATATCCAGATTTCCGTAAACAAGTAGAAAATTGAGGCTTTGTGTTTACTTGCATAGAAGAAGAGAGTGAAAGAGAGGCATGCATCGGAATCTACTTAAATCGATTTAAAGGTTAAAGGAAAGAAGAAGAAAATTAAGTTGGCAAAATAAATATCATAAGATCTCGAAGTAAGCGGAACCAAATAATAGTTTGACACCAGATAAGTAACTCCTAGAGAGGTAAGCATATATAACCAACTATTGCTAAAGAGGTAAACAAAATCTCTAGAATCATAACATTCCGTTTCAAAATTTTGGATATCCAAGAACCTGGCGTCGAAAACAAGCGGCATCTGGATATCCTCATTTCAAAATCCGAATTTTTCGGAGCAGGATGCGGATGGCTTGGTTTTAACGGAAGAGGGACCAAGTTTTCCACATAAGGAGACATAACACAAGTGTCTAACGAGAGACAACGAATCTCATCTTCCACTGGATAAAATTTGAACAGCCTCTTCTTATTGTCATAGAAGACAAGATTCCCTTGCTTAGAAACTGCCACAGGCGTGAACCACCTTTTCTGCCTTCGCCAGGAAACAACTCTATGATCCAAACTTATGGAGTAAATCTTGCTCCATTTTTCTTTGTATGTATCCATGCCCCATATCTCTAGTATCCATTCAGGCCTAACTCTGGTTATAGCAAGGACTAGACGGTCCTCAAGGTTCACCATCTGAGTGTCCAGCGTGACCAGCGTAGGCGGAAGTGGGACTTTATGAAACTCTTCTTTGTGAAGATCCAAGGCCAGTATTCTGTAAACCGTCTGAATGTGTAACCAGTAGATAGATCCATTCACACATACCGATTTGCTTCCCACATTGACCACATAAGGAGGTGGACTCAGCTTCCGCCATTCACCAGTATCAACATCAAGAAGACCACATTCCACCACAGGTTCCTCTTGCCTAAGTCTCCGGAAAGAAAAAGACATCCGCACAACTTTATATCTACCATTAAATTTGTCTCTACCAAATCCCATTACCCAGTTTCCCGGAGAGAAAGTCTTCCATAATCCTGAAAAAAAGTTTCCATTTTTTTTTCAATTTATACTCTAAAACAAGTAGAAAAAATTTCTCTGATAAATTATTACCGATTCCAAATCTGCAGTTATGGTTCAAGCCAGAAGGGAATCTCCGGAGTTGTCTGGTCGACGGGTTCAAAACGATGATCCAATCTTGCTCGGGGAAGCAGACCAAACCTTGACAAGTCATCGAGGGTCGTGAGGCGTCGCAGTGCAGATAGACAATCTCTTCGTCCCCTTCAAACCGTGACTCGGGTAGGAGCCTCCTCCGTCCGCCGCAGTCGCAGTTGTAAGCAGCTAGAATTTTCCGGCGGCTCTTTTGAAGACTCATATGCCTCTCCGCGAACCTCTTCGATTCCAGGATTGATCTCCATTGTTTTGAGACGGTTCTGCATTTGAGAATCGATTTTGTGGGCAATCGAAGGAAAACTTCTTCCAGTAAATCGGGAAGTATATCGATCGAATTAGGGTTCTCTTCTTCTTCCCCCATTTTTGAAGCTTACTTGCTTGTTTCGGTGAGAAATTCCCAATCTATATACCAAAAGGGAAACTCAAAGATTGACTTGCCGTTTGTGTTAGGCACTTGGGCTAGATCCCTTCATGGTCCGGAAATTACATTGTTTATATCTTCGATATTTTTGAATTACAATTATACCCATTTATTTTAGGCCTTTTTAAGGCCCAATTAATTAAGACAAAAAAAAGTATCCAATAACATCGTCAACGTGAAGCCTTCATCAATTTCTTAGAACTTAAAGATTTCACGTCTTAATTTCTTAAAACGTTAGAATAATTTCATGGCAAGATTGCGCCGACTTTATATAAAAGTAGAGAAAAAAAAACACATGGTCTTCACTGTTTTGGCTCCCAAAATCGCTTTAATGTGAAGAAGAAATGATTTTCTCTTTGGTTTGACATCGGTTACAATTAGGAGTTACAATAAAGTTAGTTTAGTTTATTCAATTATGTTTGAGTTGCCATGCATCCTCTTTTAAGTATAAACATAATCAATACTTATAATTATGCTAAGTATAAACTTGTGGTTTGTACAAGTTTTACTACTAACTATTGATTCTAAATTGTGAGATAAGGCAAAAGTTCAAAACTTAACTAGAAACAGTCTGAGAGCAAAAAAGTGATTAAGTTCTGAACTTTTTGATTAGCTTTATGTATTTTTATAAACATAGCTAATTAATTAAAAACTACAAAATCATACAGCAACATAATCAATTTAAATTGCGATAGTAATTGGCATTCTTCACATTGTGGTCAGAAACGCATTTTATTTCATAATAAACTAGCACATAAATGCCCGCTTGGACTTGGTAATAGAATCTGCCAATACATTATCTAGTCGATAAAAACATTGTTAACGTAGAGTCAGTTACAATGTAATACCTTTTATTTCTATCAAATATTTTAATAACCACACCTTACTTATATAAATTACTTATAATTATTATCAAATTATCTTTGAGAATATGAACACTAAAATGGCGATAAGATGTTGTGAATAATGATGATTCCAATCAATTTGCCTTCTCAATACTTTGGAGCAAACATATGCACACCAGCCACAAGAAATAATTACTTTTTGTTTTCTCCACTCCCACTTGCCAAATCTGTTGTATTTGAAAATGATTAAATAAAACAATTTAACAAATAATTAACTTTGAAAAATAAGCAATGTTGTACTAACCTTTACCCTTTCCGAAAATTTGGGAGCCACTTTTTTTTAAAAGACTATCCTCCTCCTAAATAAAAATAATTGTAAAATGGTAACACATGACAAAAATTGTTATATAGTACTATTGAAAATAATACTTATAGTTACAGTGTGTGGTTGTTTGGTGGCATGGCGAAAATTCTCAAGCAGCGAAGCCTCGTATCTCTTTCGTACTTCCTTAGACATCATATTATCTTTTATCAAAGAACGTGGGAGGAATTTGCAACAGTTGTCATTTGGACAGTCCATGTCCAAATTATCTTTATGTATTTTGGACTCATAGTATTCTACAGAAATGAGTAGAGCATTTTAGCTCACAAAAAAAATCTCAACACACAAGCTTAAATGTGTTACCTCTAAAGCATTTGTCACAAAAATGGTCACCGCATCCAAGGTTTATGCAGGCAGTGAAATGTTTGCAAAGAAGGCATTCAGTCTAGAAATGTATAAAAGAAGAGTTAGTATAAATTCAGAAACTAAAATTTGTCACAATCCTTAAAAAAGACGTAGAGAATAATTAAGGAACATACATACCCAGTCCAAATCAAACACAGGCTTGGTGACAAAGTAATGATCATTAACGCAATCATTAGGAGATTGTTTGAATTTTGAGACAAGTCTTTCTTCATCCCTAACCAAATTCAGAATTCATAATCAGTGACAAGAACAAAGCAAGTATGAAAAAATAAGAAATAAGAAAAGTAGATACATACCATTTGTATATCAAAAGTAAAACAGTAGCTTGATCTTCAGAAATTCCTAGGCGAGAAGCAACCCTTTTGATTGTGTCATAAACCTCATTGATGTTCTGAGTCTGGCCTCTTACTCCCTCCATGATTCTTTCCAAAGTTTTCAAGTGTTAAACCTAAGAAAAGAATCAGATGATTGACGAATCAAAACCAAACACAAGATTAATTAGAAAAGAAAGCATTCTGTTTCAGAGAATACACTAAGAAGAAAATCAAAAGCATACCAAGTAATGTGAGAAAGAAGAGAATTAGACGTGAATACAATAATCAAAATGAGAAATGACTCCATCTTATATAAACACAATTAGGAATCCGCGTGAGGTAAAGTAAGAAGAAAACCAACTGACTGATAGTGATGTGTACAAAGGTTGAGTGCTGACTTCTGAGGCGTATGATCGAGAGTAACAAACAACTCGTCTTTATTGCTACAAGAAGATATTCTTACATTTAATTCTGATTTTCAAAATTACCTTGATAAGAAAGAAAAGGAAAACACTAACTTAATTACTTACGTCTCCTATATTACAATGCACTTAGCCTTTCTTTTGACGTCACAATGCACTATGCTTATACCTAACTATCAAAAATGGAAAATTACAATTTATTTACTTATGACATTTGACGAGGCACTTAGCTGTAACTAACTACAAGTTTAACCTTACGCGTGAAAATATTACGTATTTTCCAACTAGATAAAATTTATTTCAAGATCTTCTTAGTTGCTAAGTTTGCTTTTGCACTTTTTCTCTGCACTTAATTCATACTAATAAGTTTTCTTGTATTCTAATTTTTATAATTATATAAACTAGCCCAAAATATTGATTTATTTAATTAGCATTGCATCAATCAGAATCAGTTTTTTTTTTTTTATTGATTTTAATCGAAGAAATCTAATATAAAAAAACACATGCAGCTTAATTAAAATACTAGTAATTATAACTTATAAGTATGATAGAATTTTACGTCTCCAAGCCATTTAAACTAACGGCTGACCCTTTACTTCCTTCCCTAAATATTCTCGCTCAGTGACTCAGTGTAGCTATTAGACCAAGCTAGAAATGACCGGTTCAACTAGATGACATCAAACCGTGAACATTTGGATTTCAGAACTAACATAAATTATACCTTTTAACTTTCTTTTATAAGACAAAGACAATTATAAATTCGAAAGAATGACGATCAGTTATTCCAAGAATGATTTCTTTTAGATATTTTACATGTTTAATATACAGATATCAAACTTTATTTCAGTATTGGATACACAAACAGAAGTACATTGTTGGGAGCTGCTTCCAAAGTTACAAGACAAAAGATGCTCGACATCAGTTCGGCCCATTTCCCACATCGGCCCAGAACTCGTCGCTGACTTAGAGAGGGCAAAAACGGGAATTTTCACCGACAAAGTGAAACCTTATACCATTTTTATTGATGGTTTCTTAAGACAACTCTTATGTTAAGAGACATCTCTTAAATTAGTTATAAGACATGTGATCAACAAAATATGTATTTTTCACCAATATCTAGCTCAGCCTTGTAAATATCATTCGATAGTCTAGCTCATGTTTGTAATATCCATTTTTGTAATCGTCAAACTCAAAAGTCATAAAATAAGAAATTCTCCGTTTTTCTCTAAAGTTCCTCTACTACTAGTCTTCATCCTAATAGATGCATACTTATCCTCAATATGATCATAGTATACTAAAAGTCAATGGACATGCTTTTGGTTGTTGAAATCATACCCCAAGTCAAACGTTTTGCAAATGTATTTTTTTTTTCTCTCGAAAACGTACGTATTCAATTTGTCTTATCAAGGGAATCGTAGTTCTCTACAGAAAACTCATATGTTGCACTCTCTTCCCTAAATCTGATTCCTATATGATAAACGTATATAATCTCTATTAGTTCCTGAAGAAGTAATTAAATTAAGAATATTGAGCTTAGAATGCCATCTCGGTAAGGTGAAGCCATCCGTAACATTATAGCATCCTTAAAAATACCAAATAAGTAATTTTGGAAAAATAAAATAAAAAATAAAACAAAGTGAATGAGCAAGATAATGAAACATTGCCGCAGTAAGATGTCTTCGGGAACAAAGTGAGTCTCCTCCACCTTTTAGTGAGCTACCTGTTGTATGTTAAACCATAATTTTGATAAATATCACATATACAGTTTTTTCCCCTAGTCACAGTCTGTAAATAAGTAAAAAAATTTGAAGCTTCTTACTTGCTTACAAGGTACAAGCAAGGGGCATAGAGATAGAGAGGAGTCCATTTACTTCCATTTTAACGATCTACAACTAGAGTGGATATCCCGGCCTCCGGATGCTTCAAACACAATCCGCAACTAGATATCCTGATTTTATAATCCTCCGGATCCGGATCCGGATGATGTCCTGAGTCAGATCGAAGTGGTGCCAAATTCTCGAGGCAAAGAGATATAACAGAAATATTTGAGGAGAGACAGCAAATCTCATTTGTCTTTGTATTATATTTGAACAGCCTCTTGTGTTTGTCATACAAGACAAGATTCCCTAACTTTGAAACAGTCACCACCGTGAACCAACTATGCTCCCATGGGAGGCCAATAATGATACTGGCTAAAGTTATGGAGTAAGTCTTGGTCCATAATTCTTCTTCTGAATCCATCATGCTCAGTATTTCTAGTTCCCATTCAGGCCCACCATGGGTTTTGGCTATGGCTAGACGGTCCTCAAGGTTCATTATCTGGGTATCAAGGGTGAACCACGTATGTGGAATCGAAACATATCGGAACTCTAGTGTGTGAAGATTCAAGGCAAGTAATTTCAAATCCCACAAAAGTTTTAACCAGTAGATTGACCCATTCACACACACTGACTTCCTACCCACATCGATATCGTGAAAAGGTGGTCCAGGTGGATTCAGTTTCCTCCATTCACCTGTTTCAAGATCAAGAACCTCACATTCTTCCACAGGATCAAAACACATCCTCACCACTTTATAGCAACCATTAACTTTATCTCTACCGAATCCCATTGCCCAATTTCCCGGGAAGAAAGTGAGGTATGGCCAGGCTGCAATTTTTTTTTATTTTAATCTTTTCAGACAACTAAATTACAACATATATTTGACTGACTCTTTTATAAACCATGCATGTAATGTAACAGATTACCTCTTAGCTGACGATTAAGACAAAAAGGAGACACGGGATGATCTGGGCTACAAGGGAATCGCCGGAGTTGTCTGGTCGATGGGTTCAAAACGTTGATCCAACCTGGTTTTGGGATGCAGACCAAACCGTCGAATGTCAGCGAGGGTTGTGTGGCGTCATCGCAGTGTAAATAGATCATCTCGATCTCTTCGTCACCTTCAAATCCCGACTTGGTCCGGCCTTCTCCCACAGCTAGGATTTTCAGCTTCTTCTGAACTTTCTTCAAACGCATATCCACGAACCTCCTCGACTCCAGGATTGATCTCCATTGCTTTGAGACTGTTTTGAATCTGAAGACTGATTTCAACGGCAGTCCAAGTAAGATTTCTTCCAGTAAATCGGTAACTAGGTAGTCCATCGGATTAAGGTTCTTCTCTTCGCCACCCATAATTTCTCTTGTCTGCATATTTTATATTTTTTTTTCTACTTCAAAACTCAGAGATAACTTTCCTTTTCTTTCTTGTTATTTTTTGCAACATATCTCTATTTTTAATACATCTCTTTACTGTTTTTGGGCTACTTTAGATATAAAAGCCAATCATGATCTGAAATGAGAGTGTTAATTGTTTTTCTTTTTTTTTTTTCCAATGTAATCCACATAAAGTGTTTGGCCCATAATTGTATGGGACTTTAATCAAATTATTTAATCCCTAGGTTTTAAATTCTTGATGAAATTGGAGATGGGATAGGAAAACTTTTTTTCACCAGTTTTTCAAGAACCAGATTTGTCTTTCTTTCTTTTTTTATCAGTTCTTTTTTTCAACATATCTCTATTTTTTTTACCACTTTCAAATATTTCAAAAAAATATTTCATTATTACAATAGCCAAAAAAATAAACCTTACCAAAAAAAAAAGTCGTAGATTAGTTTTTAACGAAAACCCCTACAAATATTTCATTATTACAATTTAGCTCAGTCAATTTCTAAAAGATTAATTTTGGTCACCTCTCTCTTTCTCTATCTATTGTGCTCGCTCGTGCAGCCGAAGATCCTGCTCTGATCGTCAAATCCAGTAAGCTAAATTTCTCAGCTTTTCGTCTTACTTTTCTTTTTGTGTCTTCAATTACATTAAACTCCATATGAATAATTTCTTCAATCGAATTTTTCGTCTTTGGGTCTTAATTTTTTCTCAACTGATTCAGCTAACATTAGCGATTTGCCGGATTTCTTCGATTGGTTTTCGTCTCTACGTTTCAATTTTCTTATTACTTCGACACATTCTTGTTCAGATCGATGAAAAGAATAATACTTTGAACAATCTTCTAGTACAGAAAAATTGAAACTTTTTCCAACATTTCTGAGATTTTCCAAATCAGATTCTCCAAGTTGAACTGAACTATCAAGTGGCTCACATAATTTTCAAACTTGATTATGTTTTTTGTGGCAGTGGAAGATGAGGATGATTCAGCCACTAAGAACAGCAACAACACAGATGATTTTGCTATAGAGCCTCGTGAAGGGATTGAATTTGAATCCGAGGATGCTGCTAAGATGTTCTATGATGATTACTCTAGACGTTTAGGGTTTGTAATGCGTGTAATGTCGTGCCGGAGATCCGAGAAAGACGGAAGAATCCTTGCCCGGAGATTCGGTTGTAACAAAGAAGGTCATTGTGTTAGTATCCGTGGTAAGTTTGGATCAGTTAGGAAACCAAGACCGAGTACAAGAGAAGGTTGCAAAGCCATGATTCATGTTAAGTATGACAGGTCTGGCAAATGGGTCATTACCAAATTCGTCAAAGAACATAATCATCCACTCGTTGTTTCACCTCGCGAGGCTCGCCATACTCTGGTGAGTATAACTTAACTTATGTCCTTGTGCAGTGTAACATTAGGTATTTGGAGCAACAAATGTTTGAAACCATTTTGGTGAATTTTGTTGTTATAGGACGAAAAAGATAAGAGAATTCAAGAACTGACGATAGAGCTGCGAAACAAGAAGCGGTTATGTGCAGCGTACAAGGAACAGCTAGATGCATTTGCAAAGATTGTTGAAGAGCATAGTAATCAGATAGCGAAGAAAGTTGAGAACGTAGTGAACAATTTGAAAGAATTCGAACCTCTAGAGCATGCGCTATTGCGAAGTAAACAAGATGCCATCTAAGCCAATTATGTATGCGTGCGGATGTATATTCTTTCAATCGGTAAAGCTTTCTATACCGCCTTTCCCGATCGTAAATGGTTTAAGTGTAATCTAGATGTGGTTTGAATCTTATTTGTTTATGGAATGTAATGTGAGAAACTTTGTAACCATAGAGTAGAAGAGGACATGAAAGGTTTACATACAAATCAGGTTTCAGGACACGAATCTTGCCTTTTAGATTGATACAAATGTAGTTGGTTCTGCAATATACTACATTGATAGGAAACAGTTAAAAATCAGAAGAGATGAGACGGTGAATCTTACATAAGACAAGAGATCCCTAAGAAAAACAAAGATTACACACCTTCGTCGATTACACGATGTTTTGATTCGTCATCAGATAATTATTTACAGAGGAAAAAACAAGAAAAACAAACCAATCAATCGAATAAACACACTTCTCTTCTGTCAAATCAAACCCTAGTTAAAGATCAATTACTGCTGCTAAAGCCACCACCTTTCATCATCTGAAGAAACTCTTTGTAATTGACTCTACCATCACCATCTGCATCAACTTGCATAATCATCTTCTTGCAACCATCTAGGGTTTTCCCTTGCTTGAGTCCCAAGGAAGCCATCACAGATTTCAACTCATCCACAGTGATAAACCCATCTCCGTCTTGGTCAAACACGTTAAACGCGTCTTTCATATCTTCTTCCTCTGTTTCGCCATCGTTGTGATGCTCATCCACAATCGAGCTGTACAGCGACTCGAACTCGTCTATGTCGACGCATCCATCACCGTTAGCATCGATCTTATGGATCATTTGAGTCAGATCTTTGTCTGGTATGTAGATTCCTAGATTCTCTAGTGAGTCGTTGAGCTCTTCCTTTGTGATTCGACCGTCACCGTTCTTGTCGAACATCTGGAAAACGCGTTTGAGCTCGGACGGATCTATTCTTTTCGTCGGCGCAGAAGACGATGGCGGAGAAGGTAACATCGTAGACGGAGACGGTGGTGAGTTCTTGTGGAGAGTTTTGTCCAACCAAGAGAGAGGGAAGAGAGTTTGTAGCTTCTTTGGTACTAAAGAGAGAAGAAACGAGTTTAGTATATTGTAGAGAAGGAATATTCTCACCATAACTGTTCTTTTATGAGCAAAAAAAAAACAGAGAGAAGATCTGAGAAACAGAGAGCTTGAAACAGAGCTTTGTTGATAGAGAGAAACTTGGAGATTGTTTGTTTTTATAGAGGAGAGAGAGAAAGAGTTTCATTTATTATAATCATTAAAAAATATATTTTCGGGAATTTACTTTTCCTTTTTCACGCTATACTACCGTTGAATCTATTTTTTAATCTTTTACTTTCACTTTTCAATTTTTTATTTGGAGAAAGTAAAAAAAAAAAATGGAACGTTTCAAAGAGGATTTATAGTGAAACATGACTTTTCTGAAAATATTTGAAACTCTTCAGACTCATAATAGTCTTCCTCTATTCAACAATAGTCACATTTAAAAGTTCAACACTATACTTTTTTTTTACATCTTATGTTCTCTAAACCTTAATCTATATATTTACATCACTAAATGAATGACAATAATTAATCTTTATACAACGAATTAAGGTCTAAAGGATCTCACCTAATACAAGTTAAAAGCTAAAAGTAGGAAAAAGCCGTGATTTACAGAATCTATTTAAGTGTATGAACCATGACAAATGAATAAATATATACAATTTAAAACGGAAAAGAGATTGAATTAGTGTGGAAAAACAAGCCACTATCGGTATTAAAAAAAAAAAAGGTAAAGAAATTGCAGAAAACGCGTGAAGAAGGCAGAGGTGGTGTAGTTAAACATATACATCGCTTTTGTGATAAATTAAAAATGAAGTAATGTCAAAAACGCGTTGTTATTATTGTTGATGTTTTGTTCCTGTCCCCATTTGTTTGGTTATCTTAACTTTGCCGGTCTTCTTCGTATTTCAGACTTTTATATATCTTTTTATCTTATACGTAAAACTTGAGTCCTAAAGAAACCTATCAAATGACTTTGTTAACTGATCTTTTTTTTCCCGATAACTCATAGTCACACCCGAAATCTGATTAATCCAATTATCCAAACATGGGCAAATTCGAAGGTTAAAGATTTGAGCCAAAGTTCAGGGCTCCGCAAAGCAACATAGACGAGTTATATACTTAAGTACTCTTTTATCCGACCCATTTGTTAATCTAAAGGCAGTGTTTTATTTTCAACTCATCACAACGAATTGACGTACTCTTTCTAGAATCAGTAAACAAAAAAGTGTTGTTAATGATAACGTAACGGGTCTAAGAATTAAAGGAAGTTATTGGGCCAAAAACGCGCCAAGAATGACGCCCGTTGGATTATGACCGTTGGATTATGACCGTTGTCGCTGTTCTATTGGTTTACTTCTTCCAAGTGGACCCATCAGTACTTGTCCAACAGCCAACAATTTTCATTTTTATTATTCATATTGCATGCAATACTATTATTACTTGATAAGGGAGGAAGCAGTAACTAAATAAGTTTTAGTTAAAAAAAAAAATTAGTTAAAAGACAAGAAAGTTCGTTGGAAAGTGATTTAAAGAAGAACTAGTCATTAATCTATATATACAAATGGTTTTTTTTTTTTTTGTGCACCCATATACAAATGGTTAATCCTAAAAAGATGATGAAGTTTTCAATCAAAACGGCCCATGATCTGATATATATATATAACTAGAACTCCAGCCACTAGCATGACCAATACTACATAGGCAAACCAATAGCAATAAAATTTCGATAAGTTCAAAGAACCAACATAAAGCCACTTCTTACATGACATGAAAGAGTATGTATATAACGAAAACCAGCTCTTTAACTATTTCGAGGCAACTATGGTTGGATCTTGCGTTTGTGTTGTTATATGATTATCCCGTTTGTAAGTTACATATTATATGAATATAAGAATTAGTAGAGCATAAAATTAATATTCAGTTTTGATATCTACTAGATCAATAGTATAAATTAATGAATACTACAATGGAGTATTTTGAGATTCTCACGCGGGGGTGTGGTGTAACGGGATCCAAGGACAGTTGACTTGTGACAAGTGTTTATGGACTTCATATGGTTGTTGTCTTCCAGCTCACCCAAGCCAGCTCCACTCACTCATAATTCATACTTAAATAATTGTCATTTTCTATTATTACTAACTGTATTTTCCTGTTAATTTGACATTATTTTTCTTCTCTTTTGTTGCAACACAATGACACATCATGCTCTTACTACAATATTTCACTTAATCTCATGTTCAAAAAAAGAAGAAGACATCTTAATGCTGTTGCCCTTTAATATGACATACTTTTTTTTTAGGGTTGTTCTTGTTCATTTGCTTTCGTCATTCTTAGATTCAAATTGCAATGATTCTCGGTAGTGGCCACTCTCTCTACTCCTAGTCCCGAAGAAAAAATTATCATCCCACGTCACTTAATAATTTTAGATACCACATTAACATTTGTTTTTCATTTACAAGATAATTGCACACGAATTGAAAGTGTTTAAAGGAGTTCAATCTAATATCCCTCTCATGTACAAGTACAGAACACTCCGACTAGCTTTATGGACATCACGGACACGGCCTATCAGAATGCTACAGTTTCAGTGGTTGATACATTCTGATGTACCACTAATAAAAGACTAAAAACCTTTAGAGCGTATATTTATTGCTAAAGTTTGTTGGCTAAATAATTAGTCTTCCTTAATTATCCACTCAAACAAAGACATCTGACATCTCCAAAGAGTCCTAACTGTCATTCGCGGTTTTACTTTATAACGTATAACGTCTACTCGTCTGCTAATGTCAACAAGAAACATTTAGGGTAAGCAAACAATTTCTAGTAATTAATTAGTTGTTGACCTATTTACACATTGGGGTTGCACAATCAGGCTCATATTCCGGAAGCGAGAAGACATATGCATGCTCTTATGAATAATTGACAATATATATCCATTATATGGATATCTACCATGACCATGTTCTGTTTATTTTTTATTTTTTGCCAAGATTAATTTATACAATTATACATCTTTTTCAAGCTCAAATATCCATCCGGTAAAGAATAACACCATCCAACATTTTGGTAAAACTATTTTCACGATAAACATTTTCAAAAAATTACACAACAAATATAAAGAGATTCAATCTTGGATTCTTGGGCTAAATAAGTTGTTGGACAAGTAAACATTTTCAAGAAAGTAGAGTTGTAAACTTGTAATTCACAAAATTAATCAAAAAGGTGCCCACACGCAGGATCGAACTACGGACCTTCAGTTTACAAGACTGACGCTCTACCACTGAGCTATACGGGCTTTTGCTTTATATCTTCTTACTAAAATACATCCTTTAGTTCAGATCCTCATTTAATGAGGGTCTTTTTTTGAGTTGAGAAAATTTTCAGAAAATTGTGAGATAAGAAGACATCCATTCATAACTGAAAATGAGAATCTCATGATAGGGAAAAACAACACTGTTAAATCTAATTTCAGATATTCTCGACAGAAATGAAAATCCCAGGACAAAGTACGAGGAACAGAGTGAATCTAGAAGTACACTTTCTTCTCGGAAATAGACCGAACCTTTTCGACCAACAACGACATCAACTACAACTTTAAATCGAAAAATAAATAGTAACATTTTTTTTAGTGGCGGAATAAGGAAATTTATAAAACTGTTAAAATACGAGCTTGGGAAAGAAGTAAAAAACAAATAACAAAAACATTATTATCTCATTTAAAGATCCAAAAATCTCATTCTCTTCCTCCTCCGCCGTGAGCAACAAGGAGAGAGATCTTTAGAATCAATCGACACGAGCGATGAATGGAACTCACCGTCATCATCTTCTTCAACTGGTCTTATCATGCCGCAAGATCACAGCTCAAGTGACTCAACCAGGATCTTCCACCATCGTAGCCATGGCTTCATCCTCCGAACAAGAATTTCTAGTCAAAAGCCGCGCCAATCTCTACCGATTCCCTCATTCCAACAATTTCTGGGACTCAAAGACCGCTTCACGCGTCGGCGAGAAGCTTGGTCTACGTCTTAGAGATCTCGGTGTTGACGTTGTCTCCATCGATGCAGACGAAGAGATCTCTCGACCCATTCAACACCGCAAAAGGGTTCTTCCGTTGTTTGATTCCGTTCGTCGTA